ATGATGCTGCATATCTTCCACAAGTCTGCGCCGGAAAGTTTGATTTTTCTGTGCAGCAACTTCAACAAACTGATTAAAGAAACACGGAGCTCGTATAGCAAATTAGATAACTAACCTGCCCTTGGGGGGTTGTAAAACCCTAAGAAGGTGCTATTCAATTTAGTAAAGTTAATTATTCTGCAATGTAGCTGGTTGATATTGTCATAGCTAGGAATGTAAGAAAAGATTGATATGGCAATATATCGTGATATTTTTTCCAGCGATATTATATCGATATTCACAAGCTGTGTATCTGATTTTTGGAAGAATTTACATGCAAACATTTGTGTATTTTCTTTTCTTTTGGTGCAATTCAATCGCTGAGTGCTAGTTAGCAACAGTGTGCAATGGGTTTTGTTTCCTCCATTGAAATGTAAATCCCTCTATTACGTATGGTTCAGATACCTCATGTTAAACATGAGTGTGAACTGTTTATTAAATAATCCTACAATAAATTCAGTCTAAAAATCCACTAATATTGTCTGACTGAATGTATTGCAATGTACTGTGATATACTGTATCGTCTCCCCTCTATCGTGATATGTATTGTATCACCATAATTTCACCAATACACATCCCTAGTTATAGCTGGTTTTTACCTCTCAAACCTCAATTATATTTTCAATTATAGTTTTTTTGTGACAATCAGAGGGTTACCTGCTTTATTGATAATTTCATCCATCCATCCATCCATCCATCCATCCATCCATGCATCCATCCATCCATCCATCCATCCATCCATCCATCCATCCATCCATCCATCCATCCATCCATGCATCCATCCATCCATGCATCCATCCATTTTCATCCTCTTATTTGAAGTCGGGTCACGGGGCAGTAGCTTAAGTTGAGAGGCCCAGACTTTCCTCTCCCCAGCCACTTGGGCCAGCTCCTTCAGGGGAATCCCAAGGTGTTCCCTGGCCAGGTGAGAGACATAGTCCCTCCAACGTGTCCTGGGTCTTCCTTTAGGCCTCCTCCCGGTTGGACGTGCCCAGAAAACCTCACCAGGGAGGTGCCCATGAGGCATCCTGACCAGATGCCCGAGCCACCTCAACTGGCTCCTCTCAATGTGGAGGAGCAGTAAATCTACTCCAAGCCCCTCCCGGATGACCGAGCTTCTCACCCTATCTCTAAGGGAGAGCCCAGCCACTCTGCAGAGAAAACTTATTTCGGCCGCTTGTATCCGCAATCTCGTTCTTTCGGTCACTATCCAAAGCTCATGACCATAGGTGAGGGTAGGAATGTAGATTGACCGGTGAATCGAGAACTTTGCCTTCTGACTCAGCTCTCTCTTCACCACGACAGAACGGTACAACGCCCGCATCACTGCAGACGCAGCACCAATCCGCCTATCGATCTCATGCTCCAGTTTTCTTTCACTCGTGAACAAGAGCCTGAGATACTTAAAATTCCTCCGCTTTGGGCAGGATCTCATCCCTGACCCGAAGAAGAAATTTACCTACCTACCTGGTTACTCCACATACTGTATGTATTTCATGAGCATTTTTTAACTCAGAAGACCCCTGAAGGACTTAGTTGTTCGTCCTTTTATCAAAACCTATTTTGAGCCTGAGAGGGTTAATTGAATGTGACATAAAACCCAATTTGGGAGCTGTAATTGTGGCTGGGAACAAAACTGAGACCATTTAAAGGCTGATGTCAGAATCATCAACTTCTGGCCAATTATAAAAAATTATGGTTGTACTTTAATTTGTTCTTTGAGCAAAGTACGAATAAAAAAAGTTACTGAAAGATCAAATATAACAGAGAAATGACCTCCTCTGAGGGACTATGAATTTTAGGATTACCAGGATAGAAAAATGTGTCCAGATGAGCCTGTGGTTGTTTGCTAATGGACCTACAAAACCGACAGCACCTCAGCACCAAGCCGGCAATATTCTGTATTGATTTTCTGGGTCTCAAAGTAGTTTTCTCAGCTCCTAAATAAACCCTCTCATTGCATTACAAGTTGAAGGCCGAGTACAGACAAAAAGAAATGTGCAAAAGTTTTAGAGTGTTTTTATTCATCATCAAAGACAGCCATGATGTCTGCTCTGACCATAACATTCAACCAGAACCACAGAACCCTAATCTTTGCATCAATAGTTCAGTCTGAGATGTTACAGAGAAAATTGTATTGAAGTTGTACCATCCTGTGGCTCAGATTTCAGTTTGAACTGTGTTTCTGTGCAGAAATGCTAATATTTTCCAGAATTGTCTCTGTTTAGACAGAAAATGTGTTTACATCCTGCAGGACTGATTGTCCGATGGCTAGTCTGAGCATATCCAAGACCAAAATGTGTCACTGCTTACATAAAACAACTTCAGTTTCCCAAATTTCATATCTGATCCTGCTATGTTACCTTATAAACCTTGACACCACCGTCAACCTCACAACACAAGGTTATTTTGTTATTAACAGTGTAAATATCACCAACAGCAGAATAACGTAGGTCTTGGTTCATCCAGGGTCTAAATCTGGTAGGAATTTCTTACTTAATCTGCTGACATAACCTTGAAATGCAAATAAAACACCATAAAAATGTAAAAAAATAAAATAAAAACAAACATTTCTGCATGGATCACTCCTTAATTAGGAAGACTGGATCAGGTATAAAACATCAGCTATGCACCTCGGTCTTGGCTCATCAGTCCTGAAGGATGTAAACCCTTTTCTCCACATTGAGGCCATTCATGAAGCCATCTCTCAATTATTTATCACTTTTACACAGAAACATTCTTCCAGAGGGCAAAAAATATTCCTTTAATGCTGTTTGAAGGAATTCTTGAAGGGAAATCTTTAGTATTCTTGAGGCTCAGTGCTTTACTTTGTAGAGAGTGTTTTTAAAAATGCATGTGATGAAACATGATCATGTCTGTGAGCTCCAACAGGAAAAGTGTAGATCAAGATCATTGGAAACTTTTAGTAGTGCTTTCTCTGTGCTTTACATTTTGATCACATCTAATATCTAAATTCCTACACTCTTCCTGTCATTTAAAAACTACAGATGACTAAAATAGCTGAACTTAGGCCTAGTCCACACGTAGCCGTTTTTTTTAAACGAATATCCGCCCCTCCAAAAACTTGCATCCACACCACCTCGTTTTAAAAACAAACTCTGTCCACACGTACCCGGATAAATACGTTGTTAAGGACATGCCAGACCTGTAGGCGGCAGTACTTCCCCCGTTCTTAACCTTGTCCTTCGTCTGTGGTCTTCCGCAAGGAGCAGTAATTCCGCTTGCAAAAACAAACAAGCAAAAAGCGCTTGGACAATTGATAAAGCGAGCGCAGCTCTGAGGGCTTCCATGATGTCGGCTAGTGTAAACACAGGTCGCACACGTGATGTCCGCATTTTTTGTGGCGGAAAGTGACGTTGCGGATCTTAAAACTCCGGTTTTGTCTGTCCACACGCAGACACCCAAAACGGAGAAAACGCAGATCTTCACTTTGGCCGGAGTTTTTAAAAAGATCCGTTTTCGTGTGAAATAACTCCGTTTTCGTGTGGATGACAGGCCAAAACGTAGAAACATATCTACGTTTTGGCAGATCCCTGGCTACGTGTGGACAGGGCCTTAGTTCTTTATATCTAAAGCTGATTCTGTGTTATGAGGAGCCACCAGAGACGTTATTCTAACTTACCTCTCATTCACACATGTGAAAATCCCCACAACACACACACACACACACACACACACACACACACACACACACACACACACACACACACACACACACACACACACACACACACACACACACACACACACACACAGGCATGCACGCTCACACACACCTATACAGGTAAGGGTGAACTGCAGGGACATTTTTCCCAAACAAGTTTTTTGATGAACTATAGGGACACCGATTTCTACTTACTGTACAGAGTTGGTAAGCATCTCAAAAAATCTATTTTAAGCCTTACAACACAAATCCCACTTCAAATTTTGTTTACACACAACACACACTTAATTATAAAAACCTGATGAAATGCTTCATTAAAGGGACATCGATAATGAGATGACTTAGCCCCGCCTATGACAAAAGTAGACATTTTAAGGTCCAACAAGAATTGTAAGGACAATACTTTAGAACCAAAAAAAAATCATCCAAGTATGAAAAATACTGGAAATGACCTAAATGAAATGAAGTTGGTCCAAATACAAATCTGTATCAAGTGTGAATTTGAAATGAACCAACCTGAAACAAAGAGCTGCAGTACACCACACTGTGTCTCTGAGATGACCCCTTAACAAAACGTTACAAATATAACCTCAATGTTATTCACTGCACACCTTTTGAGACAAACTGAGTGGACAAAAATCTAATTTTGACCCAAATTCCACCAGCTGACACTCACTGGCACATTAGAGCAGGGACGCTAAAACATGCTGGATAACAGAACAAGATTCCCCTGATGTTGAACTTTTCCTTTTGACTTTGCTACTTTGTCAGAGCAAAGCGAAGCCCTTATTACTGAAGGCAAAGCATGACCCTGCAGGTCCAGTACTTCCTCAATCCATGTTCATATTAAGGCACGACAATAACTAATCTTTTCCACTGAGGCAGGATCCCAAGGGCCCCCCAAACAAAGTTCCACAATGCATTGCTTGCAAGGTTGAGCTGTTTTATTAATGTCTATCATTTTACTCAAGTGAGCTATATTTTTTTTTACAAAAAGGAGGGTTCAACATGAAATTCTTTGACTGTTAAACGTAAAATCACAGCTTAAAACAAAGTAAAAATGGCAAGCACATTATACTCTCACTTCCTTATAGCTTTGGTGAACATTTAGCTAAACATCAACTAAATATTGTGTTTAACACTGCTTAACCCTCCCACTGTCCTAATGGGTGTGACCCTGCGAGGAAAGTTGACCATTGAGCAGGATTGATGGTTTATCCCTTGGGTCCATGTGGCAGAAGTGAGGAGTGAGCACCACCTCACCCCTGCCACGTGGACCCAAGGGATAAACCATCAATCCTGCTCAATGGTCAACTTTCCTCGCGGGGTCACCCATAAAGATAGTGGGAGGGTTATTGAACTACAACTGTCAACTTGAAAGCACAGCAAATATTCTTGTATGGAGCTTTAATTAACATTTTGCTCAACATCAACGATCGAGACATCTAGGATTTTTTTTTAGCTTTGCCTCTGTTTCGAACAAAGTCTCTTATGTTCTGTGGAGATCGGCCTTTAAGGACGAGATATTCAGCCTTTTTACACTGTTCTATTTCAATGAAGGATGCCAGCTTCCCAGTGTTGATGTGTTTGCTAAAGTACTTCATCACTGCAGCAACTTCTTTTGGAGACCAGGGACGCTTTTGAATCCTTCGAGGGCGCTTCTTTTGGGCTTCTTGATCAGGAAATGCTACAAATAAAAAAAAAAAAAAAAAATTACTTTGGTAATTATATTCCCAAGAAAACATCCCTACAAAAAGCATACTGCTGTAACCTAGCTGCCAATCCAACTAGTGAGCAGCTGGTTTCTTTCTGATGGATTTGAATGCCTCCATAACCGCACTTCTGATCAACAGACTAATACATCACATTTCTCACAAATATGATAAACATAGGCCTACTGGACTTGTTTGGCAATATTTCTGGTGCAGATATTTGAATCAGCTCCTAAAACCCAAAGGACCACTCCTTACAGTGAATTTAAAATGACACATTTAAAAAAACACTTCAAAAATCTCAAAAATGTTTTCATTTATGAATCCTGTAACTGACTAATGCACAAAATGAGTTTAAATTGAATTCCACCTTAATGTCCTCATTTTCCTTTAATGTGTGAACTTCTTCCAATATGCTGTATTGAGCATTGATTTGCTGACTGAGCACTTTCACATTTCCCTGTTTGACAGAACATTCTTGTTATGGACGTTTAATTCCAACAATCTTTCCTGATTAAAGGTAAAACATAAAAAATAAACGTGACAATGCCACTACCAGGTAGATTATTTATTCTAAACAAACACTGGATGATCAGATCAAATCTGCCTAGCCCAAAAGAAAACACTTAGCTTCCCAGTTGTCCTCTGTGTTAAAGGAGTTCAAGATTATAGCCAAGATGGGTTTTGTAAACTACAGAAACGAACCGGAGTGAAAGACAATATCTGAAAATGCAAGGAAGGATTTAAACAACTCTTAAACCCCATTCAGAACCCAGCCTCTTTGCAAAAAAACTTAATATCTTCACCAGGTAAAATGGCATAACACATCCAACAGTTTCAACTGCCTAGTTTCCACATCTTCACATCAAACTCTCACCAAATTGAGCAACTGATGACCTTTTTTCTGCTCCACACAAAGCCTCTGGTCCTGGTAGGCTCAAAAGAAAGACTCTGCAAGACTGTTCCCCCTCAACCAAGTGAACCTCAAACTATTTCAGGACTTTTCCTATAGTTTGGTAAAAGACAAAAATAACCTAACCCAATCTTTGGCTTAGGACCCTTACAAGTCAGTTAACATGTTTTAACATAAGTTTCTCATTAAAGCCATCATTCCCTTCCTGATCAGTATCCAGTATAATAATTTTGCACCCAAAAACCTTTCCATAAAATCAGGCAGGTAAAAACATGTGAAAAACTAATATCTGATTAAAGGTAAGCTGTGCTTTGCACCGTTAATTTCATAATACTGGCCCAGTTAAATGCATTTCCAAATGTCTGGTTTGCTAGGCCAGTTAATGCTGGGGCAGTTCTAAGTTGAGACATTTGGTTCATAAATACAATAATCTAATGTATGCATGTTTTTATTGTTCCAACATTAATTAGTCTGGTAGATATAGTATTGGAGTGGTACCTTGAGATGTTCCTTCTCCAGGAGAGTCAACATCTATAAACAGAATTCAGAAATGTTAAACCCAAAAAGTGTAGCACTGGTCTGATTCAGTGCAGTTTTAATAACGTGTTGAAAGGCAGTCATGCCATCTGAAGTGTCTGAAGGTTTCTTAGAGGTTAGTGTAGTCCCATGTTTTAAATTACATGAAAGATGCATTGTAAAACTACAAAATATTATTTTTTTCCTCCAACACAATGGCTGTTGATAAATAAGAAAAATCAATATTTAAGTTAGAAGCGTTAGTAACCCATGATACTTAAAATTAGGTATCCTTTTGTTCAAGACTAGAAAATATTAAAAAAAAAAAAACATTAGAAATTTGCATTTTTTACAGTCCACCACCAGTATTTAATGTGTTTATAAATATTTCTGTAGTGGTGCACAGGGCAGTAAGTCTGTGGGGGAATCCAAAACAGGCAGGGCAACAACAGTGGCACACAGACGGTGCAGGGATGCAACAGAAGCGGATGTGTAATCAGCACTCCAACTCTGATATATGCAGGAGGCGGAGGAGAGAAGCTGAGCTGCAATAGGTGCTGGTGACTGGTGTGCGATGGCTGAGAGAAAGAAGCATGCGAGTAAATAAAAAAGTGGTTATTCTGGGCTTACTGTGTGTGGTGCCATTATGTGGTCATGACCCTGGAGTAGCTGGTAATACTAAAATATAATTACCAGTTAAACTTCACAGCTCATAAATTTTTTAAAAATACAGTTATGATAAATCAGTTAATGTGCAAACTGGTAAATGGTCTTACCCTTAGATGTACCTGAAATATCATCAACAGGCTCTCTGGCTCACTTGCTTTCTGTGGAATAAATGGTGATGAAAGGTGTTAAATAGGCACGTAGCACCTTTTAAGAGAGAGATCACAAGGTGCCTAAACATGGTGCCACTAAAGCCAGCTTGAACAAGTGAGTTTTCAGCTGCTTTTTAAAGGAGACCACTGAGTCCACTGATCTCAGGCTCAGTACACGTGTAATCATTAGTGTGGCAGTTTAGTGCAATTTTAGGGCATACTTTAAATGTAATACTTCAGCCCAAAACCATAATTCCATCTCCATCTTCACGTTAAAATTCTGCTCCACATTTATGTAGAACCAGCTGTGGCTGATGGCCAAGCTGGAAAACGTGACATCAGCAATTTACTACGTGGCTGCACCGCACTGGTCTCCAGATTAGGCAGCCACACCTCCATCTGGCTCAGCCACTCACCTGCTGATTTGACACATTAGCGCTCTGAGCCACTTGCCTCCTTGGAAAAAAAAGCCCTCCTCTCCTTTTCATCTAATGATTGTGGTTAACAGGAAATCCTCCAGAATGCTGCAGAATCTGTGTCTGCTTTTCTCCTCAGCGGTAAGTCTTGTGAGTGTGTGTGTGCACGCATGCGCTTGTTAATGACTTGTTTTTAGACTGAGAAACTCCGACAGCACACGCGGGGGGTTGAGGGCAGGTGCAGTCTCACTGCCTCAATGCTGCCTTCTCGGTCTGCCAGCCGGACTTTCCTCTTTCAGAAGTGTTTTCCTAACAGGAAGTGTGGATGAAATACATCTTCACCCATGCACTGACCCTCACTTTAAATCACCATGTGGAAAGACGCATCTAATGGTTGTGGAAAATACATTAGGTCTGTTTGGGAAGGGTCAAAACATTGACATGCAAAAAACGACTAAAAATGGGTTAAGAACTGTCCATCGCATTATTATAAATTGGTCTGATGAGTCCAGAAGGACCCTGTTCCAGTGTGATGGTGCTTCAGGGTTAAGAAGAGGAGCAGATGAAATGATGCACCCATCATGCCTAGTGCTTACTGTACAGGCCTGTGGGGGCAGTGCCATTTCTGGGGTTGCTGCAGTTGGTCAGGTCTAGGTTCAGCAACAGGATGTGCTCAAAAAATGAGGTCAGCTGACTACCTTACTATACTCCCAGGTTATTCCAACTACCCTAACGGCACGGGCATATTCAAAGATGACAATGCCAGGATTCATCAGGCTCAAGTAGTGAAAGAGTGGTTCAGGGAGCATGAGACATCATTTTAACTCATAGATTGGCTACCAGAGTCCAGACCTTAACCCCACTGAGAATCTTTGGTGTGTGCTGGAGAAAGCTATTGGGCCATTCCCATCTGTACCGGGTCGGCCCGGGCCGGGTAGCCCCAGTCCGCCCCAGCCTGGCCCGGTTGATTCCACACATCCTTGTCTTAAGCCCATGTGGGCTGATTCTACCCACCAATCAGAGGCTTGCTCTAATGGAAGGTGTGAATTTGCTGTCAGCAGTGGGTGTGTTGGCCCTGGTCGGCCTGAAGCAGACCCCCTCGAGAAGAGGGCTGAGAATGAGCCTTGGTTGGCCCGGAAAAATACCAGGCCACCCAGATATGTAAACAACCTACGCTACCCGGCCCGACCCGGTACAGATGGGAATGGCCCATATGTGAAGCAGTCAGACTCTACCATCATCAATGCAAGATCTTGGTGAAAATTAATGCTACCCTGAATGGAGATAAATCTCGTGGCATTGCAGACGCTCATTTAAAAAAATATTTAGAGTCAATTGTTTAAAGTACTTGGTGATGAGCTTTCTTCAGCCGATTCATCATATAAATGACATTATCAAGTACAAAAACACCAAGTCAGTTTGAAATAAACATGCTGATGGATATCCATACCATCTCTGGTGCCTGGAGGTTCACTGGGTTCTTCATTTGTGCTGCATTCTGTCAATTCCTCGGTCTCACTTTCTTCACCTCCATCAGAGTCTGTCAGGTCAAGCTCATCTGTCATTTTAATTAAAAGTAAATTTAACATTTGAAAACACAAGGAATGTGATTTTCACATGTAAAGACGTAAATAATACCTTCAATTTCTATCTCCTCCAGTGTTTTGCCTTGAAGATCAGAAAGTGCCCCTTTGTCCAATGCAATAAGTAATTTTGATATTTTTGCAAGTTGGGTTGTGGCCTCTGGCAGCCTATAATATTCTCTATGAACACGAATATCATGTCCCAGAAAGTCAGCAACTTGGTCCAGTTCATGGTTTTTGAGATTCAAAACCTGTGATAATGTTGCAACATGCTTGCGTAGTTGTGTTGATCGAAGCAGGTCAGGTCTTTGAGCACCACACTGATTTGAATAAAGCCTCAGACAGTCCTGTGCGCGAAACGGAGTGAGACAGTGGGGTCGAGCAAAGAGAAAAGGGTTTTTCTGTGGCACTCCACACTCTTGTCTTCTGCTGATGAGAATGTTGATGGCTTCCACCATGTCTGGCGACAATAGTACAGCAACCTTTCGCCCCCTCTTACCTTTAATTTCAACACGGCTGAAATGGGCACAGAGTTTTTGTTCAAATTGTGAAAGACCAAGTGCAACATCTTTATGTAAAGGAGATGTGTCCCTCATAGCAAAGGCAGACAGGTGCATTTTAGAAACCTCTCCCCCTCGTCTTCGGTTGAACAAAATTATTTTTGACAGTGTAGTTTTACAAAGTTCTCCATAGGCTTGTGGTGATGGATCGCATTTCAAGGTCTCTGATGCTGAATTTCCAACCTTTTCAAGATGTTGGTGAAGACGTTTAACATCCTCAGTGAACGGGAGAGTGGATGGTTTGTTGAAGTGCTTGTCATCTAAGGTGGTTAAAGCTGTGTGAGACACTAGTTCAGACCACTTAGTTGAGTACAGTTTTTTGAAAGCTTGGGTTGACTTTTTTAGCTCACAGTCTCCTGTCATCAAAGCTTTACAGTTTATAATGTCACAAATCTTGTGCAACGAATGCCCTAACTTCAGAGCAAGGCTTGGCGTTTGGAATGAATGCTTTTCTTCATCAAACCCTGAGACTTTCTTAACAGCTTGGACAAGTGTATGGAAATTTGAAGGCCTGACTGCTTCTTCAAGATTGTATACTGAATAATCTTTGCGCAGGATTAGAAGGAGTCTTCCAACTTCACGTATCTTCTGACGAATATATTCGTGCTTGGTGGGATCTTGGCCATGTTTATTAAAAAATGACTGTGCAAGCTGAAGTATGTTAAAATCACTTCGTACAGCAGTAGCCACTTCATCATCTCTCATCACAGATAAGAGCTTCCAAACACTTTGGGATATTTGTTGACACAAGGATGAGTCCACCATTGAGGCCAAAGTCAAGACCCTTCCACTCTCTTGTTCATCTTGCAGTGGTTTTGCTTTACATTTATGAGCATGTCGCCAGAAGTGCTTGCGAAGATAAAGCCCTTGGCAATAAGTGCAGTGCACATACTGGTTCAAGTCATATATCTTCTTTGGTTTGCGTTTGATTTTTAGCAGTCCACTGCCACTTTTGTAAACCTCAGAGTTGTGTTTACAGTTTCCCTTGTTCCTTAAACGATCCAACTTTAGTTTACGCATTTTCGAATTTATTGGTAGAGCCAAAACTTCAGCAACTTCTGCATGTGTCTTCTCATGAACTTGGAAGTGTCGAGCAAGTTTAGATTGTGGCTTGTCACAAACAAAGCAATAATTTTTCTTCTCAGTAGAAGATACACTAGACGACTGGATGTTCTCCGCATCCTCAGTTCTTGCAGTAGTCTTTAAAGACATTTCTTCTTCTTGAACTTCAAACTGTTCACGTTGTGGTAGCTTCTTATCTGAGATTTTGTCTGAATCACTTGAAGAGCTTACAGAATCAGGGACATATTCTTCCTCTGACACTTCATCACTTGGGTCACTTTCTTCAGAAACCTTAAAATAAAAGGTTTAAATCCAACATTGTCCTTGAAAAGTAGAGAAACATTTAAAAAATAAATCAAATATTTACCAATGAAGAATCCCTCATGGTGTTGTTGAAACATTTCTCGTGCCAGATAGAGGAACATACTAAGAAATATAGAAAAAGGGGGAAGTATTATGAAAATTATTTTTAAATCCATCAATCATTTCCACACAATTAAAGGATACTCAACAGTGCAAAACTAACATTTTTCTTGGCAAAACTCCTGCCAAATTGTTTAAAATAATTGTTGGCTTACATCTACATTCATTGTCAGGTCATATCTGACGTTTAAGACAAAAGACAAGTTATAACTAATTTTAAGGTAATCTATCTATATCTACATATACTGTATCTATATATATAAAATCCCAGGATATCTGTATCGTTACCTCTAAAACTTATGAATCACAGAAGCGCAAATCTACAGACAGAAAAATACAGATAGACAAGTGATGAAATCAGCATTTATATAAAGTTACGTTTAACTTAAAGGTTTTCTAATACAATACAAAGAAAATATTTTATTTAACTCAATAATTTATCGATAAACTAGTGTTGCACCAATCAGCTGTTAATCATTATCAACCAATGTCCATTAACAAAATGATTGTCAAAATCTAATCAAAGCCTTTTAGTGTCCATAACAGCCTATCACTTGTCACTCATACTTTGAAGCCTGCATAGACCATGTCCAGCATCGCAAACATTTACCCTTACTTTTTGAATTTTTTCTCTCTCGAAAAAGTATGTAAAAAAAAATCTGTCTCAAGTCAATTTTATTGTTCCTTTTTTGCCACATAATGTAGCCAGTAGCACTCACAATAGCGACATAGAAACCACTGTGGCCATTTCATGTGATTGACATCCTTATCTGTATCTGTGACCTGAACCTTTTGAAATCAGCAGCTTAAAACCAGATCAAAGTATTCCCATTATCAACTAGAACAAAAACTGAAATTATTAATGGGGGATGGGGGGTGGGGGGTGCAAACTAAACAAACCTCTGCATTTCACACCATCCCATTTTCTTGCCGAATATGGTCCTAAGCAATGGACACATTTTTCCATGCTGGTCATTGAGGATGGGCACAGAACATGTTTGCAGCTCTATATATATAAAAGAAAAAAAAAAGTAAAACTTTCAAACAAATTAGAACAATGTGAACAAAAACAAACATTAGAATAGAAACCCATTAATGTTAAAGGTAGTTTAGATTATTGGTTCCTCAACATTTAAAATCAAAACAAATCCTACAAAATGCATTGATTACAAAAGAAGAGGTCTACCCACCTGGATGTCTTGTGTTGACAAGGGAGATGCTACTGTCACAGCTTCGGCTACGTCGGTGTGACTTAAAACCTTGTGGACATGAAACAATAAGCACATTAAGATATATTCAGAAATTTTCTAGTTACAAACTAAATTATGTACAAACAGTAATGTTAAGTACTGCCACTGAGGCAATTGGTTAGCCTGAGAATGACAGCAAAGTTACTTCTGAAGTACAAAACTTCTAAATTTTTATCTGAAAGGATCACACATTACAGGACTGTCTACATCCTCAACATCTAGCATCCAATCCAAAATTGTAAGAAATATGTAGAAAGATTACAAAAGATAGAGATCTACCCACCTGGATGTCTTGTTTTGACGCCAGTGGTTCATCGGCTTTCGCGGCATCGGTGAGACTTGTAACCTTGAGGACATGAAACAAAGAGAACATTAAAATCCATTCACACATGGATCAGCCATCACAGAGACTAGGACTTAACCCCACTGGGAAACTATTGGATGTGCTGGAGAAGACTGCGCAGCAGTCATACTACCATCATCAATGCAAGATCTTGGAGAAACAATGCAAGACTGGATGAAAATAAATCTTGTGACATTGCAGAAGCTTATCAAAACAATGCCACAGCAAATGTGAGCTTTAATCAAATTTGGTAGCGACTTTTGGTTTTGGCCAGGCAGTGTATGTTAGAACATTAAGAGGCATGAACAATAAATATTTTAAGCCATTTATTTTCTAAATTTACTATTGCAGCTTTAAAACCCAACAAGACATTTTGAAATCTGGGGATTGTAAAGTTTAGATGTGTGAATACATCCATCAGTATTTTGCCAGTTCAAAAACACACAGTCCCCTTAATGGTCTTCTCTGATAGGATTAAACATTACAGGGACAGTGTCGACTGCCCCAACATATAAATCCAAATAAAAAATTGTAAGAAACATGTAGAAAGATTAATAGGGCTGCAGCTATCGAATATTTTTGTAATCGAGTACTCTATCGAATCTTTTATCGATTAATCGAGTACTCTAATAAATTACTCTACTGCGTTTTTAAACCATTATATCAAATAGCATTTTATAAAATATGAAATATCTCTTGAAATGAGAAAGCAATTGCCAGTTATTCTTCAAGTTTTATTCAAAATTTGTTTTCAAAACTTCAGCACTTCAACTTTACTTCACAGTAAACAAATGTGACTGGCTGCGGCCCAAAAACAGCACCAGAACCTCTCACGGCGAATGCGCAAACATGGCTCGCCAGCTATTTCCCTATTAACACACGTCTGTTTTAATTTCTACACTTTTCTTGTCTCACACTAACAAGGATTGTCGAAAGCATGTTTGCCGTGGTTATGTCAAATTATACTGACCACAAAACATTTATTTACTTTCTTTCGTTTTCCTCATAAATACCTGTGTCCTCCTGCAGCAATCCTGAGGGACAACAGACATCAATAACACAGTAAAAAGTCTAACGTGTTGTAAAAACTGCTATTTTTAGCTAATTTTAAGTCCGACGTGTTGCTACCAGACGTACGGTGTGAGCTGAAACTGAGTACTACAAATGAAAAAGTCCCACAGTGTCTGCAGAATATATAGAAAAACAGGCCAAAATGCATTATCTTGTAGAGGCTCCGAGTCCACTTGCAGAAGTGACATTTAAAGGTGCTGCAGCATGAAGGATGTGGTGTTGTGGTAGGCTAAATCCATTTTACAGTATTTACACTGGACTACGTTTTCCGCCTTACGACGTGAAAAATGGTCCCACACCTTTGACATTTTGTGTCTTTTTCGCACTCCACCGGGGTCCACATTGTCCACCATGGCATAAAAGAATGTTAAGTTGCGTTCGCTACTCGCGTGTGCATTCAGTGCAGTGTGTATGTGAGTCACTTATTTCGGTCCGGGTTAAACATGACCACGGGTGATTGCAAAGTCATTAATTAATTAAACATGAATTAAATGAAGCTTCGAGGCAGATAACTTGACTCGAGGATTTTTTGTACTTGAATTATTCGAGGTACTCGAGGAATCATTTCAGCCCTAATTACAAAGGCAGAAAACTACTTACCTGGGTGTCTTGTTTTGATGACAGAGTTGCCAGAGGTTCATCTGCATTTGCTGCATCGTAGAGACTTGTAACCTTGTGCAAATGAAACAAAAAGTGCATTAAAATCTATTCGGAACTTATCTGGTTACAAACTAACACAGGCACATACAGTTATATGCGAGTGCTGCCACTGACACAAAAGGTTAGCCTGAAAACAGTAAAGTAACTTCATAGGTACCAAACTAGTTCACACCAAGAGACCTCTTTACACACAGTCCTCATTAATACCCAACAAGACATTTTGAATTGTGAGGACTGTGTAAAAACTGGATGCGAGAACACATGCTCTCCCCATTTTGTTAGTTATACACACAGTCCTCAGAATGTTGTCATCTGAAAGGATCACACATTACAGGGACTGTCTACATCCCCAACATCCGATCCAAAATTGTAAGAAACATGTAGAAAGATTACAAAGGCAGAAAACTACTTACCTGGGTGTCTTGTTTTGAGGACAGAGTTGCCAGAGGTTCATCTGCATTTGCTGCATCATAGAGACTTGTAACCTTGTGCAAATGAAACAAAAAGTGCATTAAAATCTATTCGGAACTTATCTGGTTACAAACTAACACAGGCACATACAGTTATATGTGAGTGCTGCCACTGACACAAAAGGTTAGCCTGAAAACAGTAAAGTAACTTCATAGGTACCAAACTAGTTCACACCAAGAGACCTTTTACACACAGTCCTCATTAATACCCAACAAGACATTTTGAATTGTGAGGACTGTGTAAAAACTGGATGCGAGAACACATGCTCTCCCCATTTTGTTAGTTATACACACAGTCCTCAGAATGTTGTCATCTGAAAGGATCACACATTACAGGGACTGTGTCGACTGCCCCAACGTATAAATCCAAATAAAAAATTTTAAGAAACATGTAGAAAGATTACAAAGGCAGAAAACTACTTACCTGGGTGTCTTGTTTTGATGACAGAGTTGCCAGAGGTTCATCTGCATTTGCTGCATCGTAGAGACTTGTAACCTTGTGCAAATGAAACAAAAAGTGCATTAAAATCTATTCGGAACTTATCTGGTTACAAACTAACACCGGCACATACAGTTATATGTGAGTGCTGCCACTGACACAAAAGGTTAGCCTGAAAACAGTAAAGTAACTTCATAGGTACCAAACTAGTTCACACCAAGAGACCTCTTTACACACAGTCCTCATTAATACCCAACAAGACATTTTGAATTGTGAGGACCGTGTAAAAACTGGATGCGAGAACACATGCTCTCCCCATTTTGTTAGTTATACACACAGTCCTCAGAATGTTGTCATCTGAAAGGATCACACATTACAGGGACTGTGTCGACTGCCCCAACGTATAAATCCAAATAAAATTTTTTAAGAAACATGTAGAAAGATTACAAAGGCAGAAAACTACTTACCTGGGTGTCTTGTTTTGATGACAGAGTTGCCAGAGGTTCATCTGCATTTGCTGCATCGTAGAGACTTGTAACCTTGTGCAAATGAAACAAAAAGTGCATTAAAATCTATTCGGAACTTATCTGGTTACAAACTAACACCGGCACATACAGTTATATGTGAGTGCTGCCACTGACACAAAAGGTTAGCCTGAAAACAGTAAAGTAACTTCATAGGTACCAAACTAGTTCACACCAAGAGACCTCTTTACACACAGTCCTCATTAATACCCAACAAGACATTTTGAATTGTGAGGACTGTGTAAAAACTGGATGCGAGAACACATGCTCTCCCCATTTTGTTAGTTATACACACAGTCCTCAGAATGTTGTCATCTGAAAGGATCACACATTACAGGGACTGTCTACATCCCCAACATCCAACATCCGATCCAAAATTGTAAGAAACATGTAGAAAGATTACAAAGGCAGAAAACTACTTACCTGGGTGTCTTGTTTTGATGACAGAGTTGCCAGAGGTTCATCTGCATTTGCTGCATCGTAGAGACTTGTAACCTTGTGCAAATGAAACAAAAAGTGCATTAAAATCTATTCGGAACTTATCTGGTTACAAACTAACACAGGCACATACAGTTATATGTGAGTGCTGCCACTGACACAAAAGGTTAGCCTGAAAACAGTAAAGTAACTTCATAGGTACCAAACTAGTTCACACCAAGAGACCTTTTACACACAGTCCTCATTAATACCCAACAAGACATTTTGAATTGTGAGGACTGTGTAAAAACTGGATGCGAGAACACATGCTCTCCCCATTTTGTTAGTTATACACACAGTCCTCAGAATGTTGTCATCTGAAAGGATCACACATTACAGGGACTGTGTCGACTGCCCCAACGTATAAATCCAAATAAAAAATTTTAAGAAACATGTAGAAAGATTACAAAGGCAGAAAACTACTTACCTGGGTGTCTTGTTTTGATGACAGAGTTGCCAGAGGTTCATCTGCATTTGCTGCATCGTAGAGACTTGTAACCTTGTGCAAATGAAACAAAAAGTGCATTACAATCTATTCGGAACTTATCTGGTTACAAACTAACACCGGCACATACAGTTATATGTGAGTGCTGCCACTGACACAAAAGGTTAGCCTGAAAACAGTAAAGTAACTTCATAGGTACCAAACTAGTTCACACCAAGAGACCTCTTTACACACAGTCCTCATTAATACCCAACAAGACATTTTGAATTGTGAGGACTGTGTAAAAACTGGATGCGAGAACACATGCTCTCCCCATTTTGTTAGTTATACACACAGTCCTCAGAATGTTGTCATCTGAAAGGATCACACATTACAGGGACTGTCTACATCCCCAACATCCAACATCCGATCCAAAATTGTAAGAAACATGTAGAAAGATTACAAAGGCAGAAAACTACTTACCTGGGTGTCTTGTTTTGAGGACAGAGTTGCCAGAGGTTCATCTGCATTTGCTGCATCGTAGAGACTTGTAACCTTGTGCAAATGAAACAAAAAGTGCATTAAAATCTATTCGGAACTTATCTGGTTACAAACTAACACAGGCACATACAGTTATATGTGAGTGCTGCCACTGACACAAAAGGTTAGCCTGAAAACAGTAAAGTAACTTCATAGGTACCAAACTAGTTCACACCAAGAGACCTTTTACACACAGTCCTCATTAATACCCAACAAGACATTTTGAATTGTGAGGACTGTGTAAAAACTGGATGCGAGAACACATGCTCTCCCCATTTTGTTAGTTATACACACAGTCCTCAGAATGTTGTCATCTGAAAGGATCACACATTACAGGGACTGTGTCGACTGCCCCAACGTATAAATCCAAATAAAAAATTTTAAGAAACATGTAGAAAGATTACAAAGGCAGAAAACTACTTACCTGGGTGTCTTGTTTTGATGACAGAGTTGCCAGAGGTTCATCTGCATTTGCTGCATCGTAGAGACTTGTAACCTTGTGCAAATGAAACAAAAAGTGCATTAAAATCTATTCGGAACTTATCTGGTTACAAACTAACACCGGCACATACAGTTATATGTGAGTGCTGCCACTGACACAAAAGGTTAGCCTGAAAACAGTAAAGTAACTTCATAGGTACCAAACTAGTTCACACCAAGAGACCTCTTTACACACAGTCCTCATTAATACCCAACAAGACATTTTGAATTGTGAGGACCGTGTAAAAACTGGATGCGAGAACACATGCTCTCCCCATTTTGTTAGTTATACACACAGTCCTCAGAATGTTGTCATCTGAAAGGATCACACATTACAGGGACTGTGTCGACTGCCCCAACGTATAAATCCAAATAAAATTTTTTAAGAAACATGTAGAAAGATTACAAAGGCAGAAAACTACTTACCTGGGTGTCTTGTTTTGATGACAGAGTTGCCAGAGGTTCATCTGCATTTGCTGCATCGTAGAGACTTGTAACCTTGTGCAAATGAAACAAAAAGTGCATTAAAATCTATTCGGAACTTATCTGGTTACAAACTAACACCGGCACATACAGTTATATGTGAGTGCTGCCACTGACACAAAAGGTTAGCCTGAAAACAGTAAAGTAACTTCATAGGTACCAAACTAGTTCACACCAAGAGACCTTTTACACACAGTCCTCATTAATACCCAACAAGACATTTTGAATTGTGAGGACCGTGTAAAAACTGGATGCGAGAACACATGCTCTCCCCATTTTGTTAGTTATACACACAGTCCTCAGAATGTTGTCATCTGAAAGGATCACACATTACAGGGACTGTCTACATCCCCAACATCCGATCCAAAATTGTAAGAAACATGTAGAAAGATTACAAAGGCAGAAAACTACTTACCTGGGTGTCTTGTTTTGAGGACAGAGTTGCCAGAGGTTCATCTGCATTTGCTGCATCGTAGAGACTTGTAACCTTGTGCAAATGAAACAAAAAGTGCATTAAAATCTATTCGGAACTTATCTGGTTACAAACTAACACCGGCACATACAGTTAAATGTGAGTGCTGCCACTGACACAAAAGGTTAGCCTGAAAACAGTAAAGTAACTTCATAGGTACCAAACTAGTTCACACCAAGAGACCTCTTTACACACAGTCCTCATTAATACCCAACAAGACATTTTGAATTGTGAGGACTGTGTAAAAACTGGATGCGAGAACACATGCTCTCCCCATTTTGTTAGTTATACACACAGTCCTTAGAATGTTGTCATCTGAAAAGATCACACATTACAGGGACTGTGTCGACTGCCCCAACGTATAAATCCAAATAAAAATTTTTAAGAAACATGTAGAAAGATTACAAAGGCAGAAAACTACTTACCTGGGTGTCTTGTTTTGATGACAGAGTTGCCAGAGGTTCATCTGCATTTGCTGCATCGTAGAGACTTGTAACCTTGTGCAAATGAAACAAAAAGTGCATTAAAATCTATTCGGAACTTATCTGGTTACAAACTAACACAGGCACATACAGTTATATGTGAGTGCTGCCACTGACACAAAAGGTTAGCCTGAAAACAGTAAAGTAACTTCATAGGTACCAAACTAGTTCACACCAAGAGACCTTTTACACACAGTCCTCATTAATACCCAACAAGACATTTTGAATTGTGAGGACTGTGTAAAAACTGGATGCGAGAACACATGCTCTCCCCATTTTGTTAGTTATACACACAGTCCTCAGAATGTTGTCATCTGAAAGGATCACACATTACAGGGACTGTGTCGACTGCCCCAACATCCAACATCCGATCCAAAATTGTAAGAAACATGTAGAAAGATTACAATAGGCAGAGATCTAACCACCTGGATGTCTTGTTTTGATGCCAGTGGTTCATCGGCTTTCGCTGCATCGGTGAGACTTGTAACCTTGAGGACATTAAACAAAGATAACATTAAAATACATTCACACATGGATCGGCCACCACAGAGACCAATCCTAGCCTGAAAGCACTTAAGTTTCTTACACACCAAAAAGAATGCCAGGAGGCTGTTAAGTTTTTCATAAGAGATAGCTTTCTTTAAAGAGCAAGTCACCCCTTACAAGAAGCGTACTTCATTCCCACTTCATGTTTGAAAAATGCAACAAATGCTGTTGTCTAGCAGACCGAGAGGGTGGAGCCACTAACAAATACACACACTCATGACATTGTGACATCATAATGTACCAGTTTACATCATAGCGTACCTCTTAGCCAATAGCGGTGGCAGATTTAAATTCAAATGCAGTGAAGAGTTTTTACCTGACAACGGCACAACATTGACAGTTTCAGGCAGAAAATTTAAATTTTAACTAAAGTGCACTAAAGTGCAAAACTATTGACTACACGTGTCTGCAGCACGATTAGACACGCATTTATATAGTTTATCAGAAAAAAAATAGTTGGTTTGGGGGTGACTTGCTCTTTAAGAATCTAAAATATAAAACATTCTTAATATTCCCATTTAACTTCTCCTTCCATAGTTGGGACATCTTCAGTATTGAACAATGTAGAAAATAACCTAATTTGAAAATAACCACATGTAGTGTTGCTAATGCAGAGATTGCTAAATAATTGTCACAGCAAAATTCTCTTAGCAGAGCAAACTTACATATTAATAAAGTACTATAAAAAATATACTCAAAAAACATGACTTCTTTCTCTACCTATTATTTCAAAGTTGTACAATATTCATGGTAAAAGTCCTAATTCGACATGCACCTTTAATCTCCAGGGCCAGTCAGAATTTCCGTAATCATAGGTTATCTCCTCCCCTGGTTTAATGTCCTTTATGGCAAATAAGCAGAGATGCGGTTGTCCATTTACAGTTATCGTCTTCATTTTGCTGTTTGGGCTCACATGATCATCATTAACTAGTCTTCCTAATGAATCATCCTCCCTTGAGGCATCAACACTGAAATCACAAAACAAGTGACAGGACAAAAAGAAAAAAAATTATATAACTATTTAAAAAAAGTTTTACTTTTGAATGCTTTAATTTACATACCACATAAGTTTTCCATTATGACGAAACTCAAACATGAAGACCTTCATTGCATCATGATAAATCCTTAACCTGTCTTCATATTCCAGTTTGTTTATGACTTCGCCTCGATATTCTACAAGAAATGATCCTTTCTCAAAGTGGCATGTACTGAACACTCCTCGCCCTGAGAAACACCACATTATTTCATTATCAACCCAAAATGATAATCAAATGTAGACCAAACATCTAGCTTGATGACTGACCTTTGAAAGAGTTGATGAATTTCACATCAAATCCATCCTTGTCCTTACCCAAAGCCAAAAACTGCACTGCCTCATCTTTTGGCTTCATTTTCACTCTTTTTGGTCGCTTTGCCATCATGCATCTAAAAAGACAAAAAATTGTGGGTTTTCACAGGAAATCTAAAACTTATACAGGTACTTGATTAATAATCTTCACCAATTTAAGCTAGGTGTGCCCAACTCTAATCCTTGAGGGCCACTATCCTGCATCTTTAACTTGTTTCTCTGCCCAAACACATCTGATTCAATGACTGAATCACCTGTGCAGCAGGTAATCAAGATCAGCAAAAGCCTGCTAATCACATGCAGATCAAAATCAGGTGTTAAAGAATAACCTCAGAAAATCTGCGGGACGGTGGCTGTCCAGGACTAAAATTAATCACTAATTTAAGCATCCTACCAACTTTTCTAATAAATTAAAGATCATTTTATTAATCCTTGCATGTTTCCATACACAAAATAAATGACTTAGGTCCTTGTAGTTAATTGATAAAACAACATCCATGATTATTAACTGTTTAAATCATTAAATCTTATACTATTGTCAGTGTCAGGGCAGCATGAGGCCGGGGACACACTGGCCGCGGAAGCGCCGCGAAGCGCCGCGAAAATGGGACCGCCTTCATTCGGCGCCCTTGTTAAGCTACTCTATAGACCACATGGGCCGCCGAAGCGCCGCGAATCGCCTCGCGCCGGCGCGCGCCGGCGCTCCAGCCCGCGCCGTGCAGCGATCATTTCGGCGTTGGCTCTATTTTTTTCGCGAGCCGCGGGTGAATCGCGTCAATTCTGGCAGGAAGTCAAACGTAGACATAAGAGGCAGGCCGGTAAAGTTAACAAAATAAAGCATTTCAAAATAAAATTCCGCAATAGTCAAATGTGTTCGTAAACAGACACTGCAGAAAAACCACACGAACACGCACACACATACACACACATCGAACTTGTGTGCGTGTGTGACCACGTGAAGGGGGGAGTGGTTTTGGGTGTCTTTTCACCGGAGCAAACAGGACAGAGAGGCAGAAAGTCTGAGGCAAGCAGTTAGGATGGATGACTTTAAATTAATTATGGAAGTTGAGAAACACAAGGAGCTGTACGACCCCCGAAAAACATGATTGTTTACGTACCCATGTCGGAAGAAACTGCTAGGATACAGCTGCAGAATTGGAGCGGGTTCCAAGAGATTCAACTGGCAGAAACAACTCATACCATAGGTTCACACACACACGCGCGCGCACGCGCACAAACACTCAAACGTAGGAAAAGAGCTGAGAAAAGGCAGAGAGGAAATGGAGGACACCAAGTGTTTAAAAGAAAAACTACAGCTGAGCCGAGGCGCGCCTCGACTGGGGCGCGTCTGATCTGAACTGAGGAGCGGCGAGCAGCGGCCGAATTTCGTGAGCGATTCGCTTCTCGGCGCTTCGCGGCGCTTCCGCGGCCGGTGTGTCCCCGGCGTGAGACACGCATCTGACCCTCTTCACACACCACCTCCAATATCTCAGGCTGAAACAGACAGGCTCAAGTCAGCCCCTGGGACAGCCAAGGGAGGCAGTTTCGCCTGCAGTTCCAGTGTGTCAAGTGCACCGATAGGAACAATTAGCGTGACTGTCCTCCTCTCTCACTGACTACGGTGAGTTAGGGGACGTGACGAGACAGGCCCGGCAAATATTGACTCTTCAAAGAAACCATTTATCAACCTCACCTGTTGACTTCATAAGCTGAACATGTCGCATGCCACACACTTTTGAACGTTTAATTAGCTCATTTTAACTGAGAAAATAAGTTCGACAACCAAGCTGTTTAGCTCATTACCTTGTTAACTGTAAGCTACAGCACAGCTGTTCACAAAGCTAGCTTCAACACAACAACTATACTGAATTAGCAAGTTACAGCTTTAGACAAACAGACCAAAAAACTTAACAAACATTTCTTAATAACAGATAGCGACGAGAGGGTTTTTACCTGCATGCATCACTCACTTGCTAAAAGTCCCCCAGTCCTAATTTGGAAGCTTCCGGAGAAGATGAAGAGAAGCAACGTTCATTGGCTGGAATGAGTCATGTGGAAAGGATCAAAGGTCAACCTGCCGATCTTTTTCCTAGAAAAGTTGATTTTCTTTTATTGATAATTAAAAGGATTTGACATAAGAATTTGTTGAGAATTGGTGCAAAATTAAGTAGTGTACCCCCCCTTCCCCCCAAAAAATAAATAAAAATGGAGAGGATATATGTTAAAAAAAACTTTTCACCCACAGGGGTGGTCTCATCCTTCCAAGCTCAGGCCCTATACCAGAGGCCTGGCAGCTTGAGGGTTCTGTGCAGTATTTAGCTGTTCTTAGAAGTGCACTTTTCTGGACTGAGATGTCAGATGTTTTTTTTCTGGAATCTGCTTCAGCCACCCCTGCGACCCTGCATAGATAAGCAGGTTCAAATAAAGGATGGATCTGCTTTAGCCACTCCTCCACTTTGGGGGGTAACTTCTCCAAGTGTCCTGATGACCACGGGCACCACCAACATATATGGAGTATATATATATATATATATATATATATATATATATATATATATATATATATATATATATATATATATATGCTCAACAAATGAAGGGAACACAAAAGATAAGACATCCTACATCTGAATGAATGAAATTTTCTTATTAAATAATTCTTCCTTTTTATAGTTAAATGTGCTCACAACAAAATCACAAAAAATTATCAATAGAAATCAAATTTATCAACCCGTGGAGGTCTGGATTTGGAGTCACACTTACAATTAAAATGGAGAAACACTACAGGCTGATCTAACTTTGATGTAATGTCCTTAAAATAAATCAGAATGAGACTCAGTACTCTATGTGGCCTCCACGTAAATATATGATCTCCCTTGGCAAACTCCTGATCAGGTGGTGGATGGTCTGATGAGGGATCTCCTCCTAGACCTAGATTAAGCACCTGCCAACTCCTGGACAGTCTTTGGTGCAACGTAGCAGTGGTGGATGGTGCATTGATGGATGGCCTCCTTCACATCTTCTGGTGTACTGGTCTGTCTTCTGGTAGTGCCCCCATGCTCTGGACACTACACTGACAGACACAGCAAACCTTCTTGCCACAGTTCACACTGATCTGCCATCCTGGTTGAGCTGCACGACCTAGGTGACTTGTGTCATGTTACCACTGGAGTTAATGCGTACAATTTTAAACCTGTAGAAGAAATCAAAGTACCTGGAAGAAACCCACACATGCATGGGGAGAACACGTAATTCCACGCAAAAAGGTCGCAGCTGAGTTTGAAACCTGCAACCTTCTTGCTGCAAGGCAACACTGCTAAAATAACTGCACCACCATGCAGCCATACGTAAAAATTAGACAAGAAGAAATCATTCCAGAACTCTGTCTACCTTTACTTTTTCTTAAGTTCCATCAGTAAAAAAATTCCACAGGGAAGGTGCAGATCTTTTTAATGATATACTTCCCATGATAACAAGTCAGGCAGAGGGGTTTTATAGGTTGATAAAGGCTGAGGATCTGGACATACGGGAGGGTGTAGATATTTTTAGGAGCTGAGAAAGATAAATAGGGGCAAGTTTGTATGTGAGAAGTAGTAATTTGTAAATGATCCGAAACTTTATCAGCAGCCAATGAAGCTGCTGGATAACATTGGTAATGTGATTAGAGATGGCTGTTCTAGTAATGATACGAGCTGCAGAGCTTTGAACCAGTTAAAGTTTGTGCAAGGACTTCTGTGGCAAACCAAACAGGAGGGAATTAAAGTAGTAGCGAGAAGTGACAAGACTATTTAATAAGATGGCAGTCGCGTGATTAGAGAGTGACGGATGCAGTTGATTAATATTTCAAAGGAGACATTAGACTGAAGGGGTAACTGCATTGATATTTGAATGGTAGGAAAGGAAACGGTCTAAAATAACACCAAGGTATTTTATGTGGTCCAAATAGGCAACTACAGCGTTCGCAATAGCCATTGAGAATGTTCCAGCCTTCCCCAATGCAGATCTTGTACCCATGAGAAGAACTTGAGTTTAATTGGAGTTCAGCTTAAGGAAGTTTAAAGAAAACCAAGACCTAATGTCGGATATGCAGTCAATGAGTGACAGAGGTGGAAGAAACAAGGACCGAGTGGTGGAAACATATAATTGAGAGTCAACAGGATAACAATGAAAGTTTATGTTAAATTTTGTAAAGATGTACCCTAGAGGGATCAAGTAGCTTATATTACCAGCTCAGTGGCCTTGTGGTAGAGTGTCTCCGCTGGGACTGGGAGAACGGTGTTCAAATCCCGGTCGGGTCATACCAAAGACTTTAAAATTGAAATGATTAATGATTTCCAAGATAGATGGGAGTTCAAACATAGAACTGAGTTTAAAATCTCAAGAAGGTTATCGATGGAGAAGGAAACCTGGTCAGGTGGGGAGAGAAATTGTAGCATATCCGCAAAATCATTCATACAGAAAAGAAAATTGTCCATATTGAGGTTTTTAAGATTCCAAAAGATGATGGAGCAAACAGGCTATGAGGGTGAGAGACAACTTGAATGTAAGAAGAAAATTATTTGAAGAAGAAAATTTGTCGGCGGTAGTCAGTAGGAGTGAGTCCACTTTGATATGTGTTGGAAAATCCACTTATTACTGAAAACCAAAATTATCCAAGAATGAAACAAAGGTACTGGTAGTCAGAATTTACTGTAATCCAGGCATATATCAAAATCTACTAGCATAATGATATTCTGAGATAAGGAAGTCAAATGTCCAAGAAAAGCTAAAAAATGATTCAGAAAATCTTTGGTTTAGGACAATAAACAGATGCAAAAATTGTAGGAATTAAACCAGATATTTGACAGACAATTGATTCCAACGAACCATATTGAGAAACAGTCTGTGGGACAACTTTCATGGTAGAGTATCGTGAGACCTCCTCCGCAGCCTGAGCTATGAGGTTTAGCCTTGTAAACAAACCTTGGTGGCACTGCTTCATTAAGCTGCATGAAGTCCTGCGGTTGTTTGCCATGTCTCATTCAGAGACATAATGTCAAGCTTATGATCTGTGACAAGATCCTGAAAGAAATTACTCTTACCCAATTAACCGGTGCGCTAGCCACCTTAGCTAAGCTGGCTAACATGCTTGAGTTGCCAATTCTCTCAGGTTGTCGCAGTGGTGGGTCAAGAAGGGGACCAATAGGAGGGTACTGATGCTCGGAAATCCTGTTAAAAGCCTAGCCGGGATCCTTGATGATCGCAGCAGATCCACCATTGAGTAATAATGTAAGCCAGTAGTGGGTTGGATCATCAAGGTCAGAAAACATAAGGCAAGTGTATCGTAAAAAATCATCAGACACATTGTATCAAAACGGTCTATACAAAGTATACAAAGTAATTCAGGTGGAGTTGACACACAGTTAAATCTGCTTTTGGTCAACAACTCAAACAACTGC